AAACCCCAAAACCCCAAAACCCCAAAACCCCAAAACCCCAAAACCCCTTATAAAGTTGTTCTCTTTGAATCATTTATACATTTTTATAGGATATTTCCAATTAGTTTACTCTAATGGCATCAGCATCATCGATAGAACTTTCAATAATTCCCTCTGATGAAGAGAATAAAGATAAGCCAAGCTCGTACGACGAGATAAGTAGTGATAAAAGTGATAGAGGTGAAGGACAAGGCCATGAATCAACTTCCTCAGTTGACTCGAGCAGTTCAAGTGGATATTCTTTAGGAGAAAGTCTTTCTGATAGCGAAGAAGAAAGAAGAGTTTTAGATGATCCTATGGAGAAGATTCCTCCTGATTTTGAGTGGTGTAAAAGACATTATGAAGCAAACACAGTCAAAAATATTGAGACTATTGATAAAAGAATGAATAGAGAAGACTCTAGGTACTTCTGCCAGTGTTGAGGACTACCTCTGAAGAATTCAGCGAAGGATTTCTCTCTCTTTTCTACATTCAAATCGCTATGTCAACTCGGAACATGTTTCGCTTTTTATTTCAGGCTCAAATTGTTTACGGTCATATCTCTATTCACCTGGAGTATCTCTTGATCATGACTGGTGATCTACAGTGTACATGGGGAAGACAGTGCTCAAGAATTCAGCCCTAATGAAGAACTAGCTTACATCTCAGACTGGAGTTTGGGAAATTTTGGAAAATGCGGAGAAAATTGCACAGGAAGCTATATGGACAAAATTGTTATTTTTAATTTTATTTCTCTCTTTCTAATAATCTTGGAAGGAATTGTTTATAGACATTTTCAAACTAAAAAGGTTGATGAATTAGAGCAGAAGTATATTACCCCATCTAGCTTCTGAGTCATGGTAAGCAACATTCATAAAGAAATGGCTGATGAAGACATCAAGAAGTGGTTCCGTGGTTTGACTAAAAATGGAGAAATTATTTATATATCTAGATGTTATAAGATTCGTGACCAAAGTGTAAGAGAGAAGATAATTATGGACCTTAAGAGAAAGAAGAGAGCTCTGAGACTTGAAGAAAAGGAAGCTGAAGAGAGAAGGAAAGAAACAGGCGAGGTCGTTCATAGAGAAAGTAAGAATTTCAACTGTTTTATTTTACTTAACTTCGGATCTTTCGTAATTTTGTGTTGGTAGTTTATGAAATTTGATTACTCGTTTAAAAAGATTCATGTCTAGAAGACGGAAATTGTTTAAAGATTTGTATGATGCTTTGGATATGATTTAGACTTTGATGAGCATAGTTGTTCTTCTAAATGCAATCCTCCCAATAGCAACCCTTAACTTTCTGCTATCTTAAAGCAAACTTTACAAATGATAAAAACTGAAAGATTTCCCAAACAATAATTAAATTTACCTAATCTGCTGTATCCTAAAAGCTAAGGCTACTTCCATTTTATATGATCTCTAAATTCTCCAAATTCTACATAATCTAACTCTCAATGAAGCCCTATTGGGAGCATGCTAAGCTACAAACCTAGCTTACTTTCCTCACCTAAGTATCCAAGTCTTATTTCAGCAATAATCACACTGAAGTTCTTGTTTAGAAATTTAAAAGATTTTTTAGTATTTTGTGACTGATTCCTCTACTTCGATATTTTAAAAGTCACTTTTTGACTATGAAGCGATTGTTAGGGTTTGGCTTTTGGGAGTAGTAAGGATTGGGCGCTTGATGAAAGAATGGAGTATTATAATTACCTCAGATTTGAATCACAATGATCTCTTATCATTAGGGTGGGAGCCTATGCTACATATAGGTTCTCTCTAACATTTGTCTTTATAAATTCCACCACGATATCCTTCTCTTCCAATAAATAGCAAAAACTGAGGGTTTGACATGCATTCCTACTATATGGTTCTAAATGTGAATGTTTGGAAGCTTTATCCTTGTGCCAGAACTTAACTTACACATACTATAGTCCCGTTTGATCTAGAAATTATTAAAATCAAGGAGAAAATATTTGAGACGAGGTATGAGATGGAAAAAGAGTTGGATGATTCAGAATTCTGCAAGAAAGCTTTTGTGGTATTTGCTAACTCTGTAACCGTCTCCGAGGTTAGTGTACCTTTCAAATTAAACTATTTCCAAAGGTTTTGGGAATTTATTAAGCTTAAGATCTTTATGTGCAAGCGTCAAGGCAAAAGATTTTGGGATAACCATAAACTTCATGTCGAAAAAGCTGTTGGCCCAAGAGATATTCTTTGGGAAAATCTTGCTGTGGGTCTAAAGCATAAAAGTTTAAGACAGCTCATTACGTACTCATGTACTTTTGTTTGACTTATTGTTTCATTTGGAATCACTCTTGGAATTAGTTCCATCATTGATGTTCTTGCATCTCAAGAAAATACTTCAACTGCTGAAGATTTTTTTATAGGCATTCTTTCTTTCCTTTCATCAATTGTTGTGACTCTCATTAATATTGCCTTGGAGAAAATCATTAGACATCTGTCTTCATTTGAGAGGCACGACTCTTACACAAAGTTCAACCTGTCTGTTTCAATAAAACTGACCATTGCAACTTTCATTAACACAGGGATTCTGCCGATTTTTCAGAATATTGAAACACATAACTGGTTCCACACCAATGGACTGATGAATGCTATATTCTACAACATGATTTCTATTGCTTTAGTCGGTCCATTTCTGTACGCTTTTGATTTTTGGTACATAGTTAAGCGAATCAAGATGAAATACCAAGAGAAGAAAGGTGAAAACTGTACTCTGACACAAAGAGAAGCTCATGCTCTGTTTGAGCCACCTCCAGTAGACATGGCTCAGTTACATTCAGACACTATGCTGATGATGTTTATGGTTGCCATGTATGTATTTATCCTCCCTGTAGTTGCAATCATTGCATGTTTTGGATCTATTGTTCAGTTTTGTGTACAAAGATATTTAATACTCAGAAGACATAAACAGCCACCTCAGCTTGGCCCAGAGCTTGCAACTATGTTTGTGAAGTTAAGCCCATTCATGATTTTGATATATGGAGTCTCTTTGTTCATTTTTCATTCTGTGCTACTTTCTCAACAGAGAACAGCTGCAAGTCTATTCTTAATCGCCTGCGTGCTCTATTTCTTCATCCCTGTGCAGGGCATCGTTCGCAGACGCTGCAAGTACTCTCACTTGAACGCCAGGGCGGAATACAACGAGTGCAAGATGACCTTTGTCACAGACTATTATAAAGAGAACCCCCATAGTAGAAGGAAGGAGTTGAAGAAGATTGAGATGGTCCAGAGAGCTAAGTTAAGGCAGTTAGAGGAAGATAGGGATCAACATGAGGTACAGAGGGATACAGAGGCTGAGCAGTTGAGGGAGAAGAAGATTAAGCAACTTGAGAGGGAGATTAATGGGCTTAGAAGACAACAAATGAACAGTTTTGTCCCTCAAGCCCAATCAAACCAAGGCTTTACTCCTTACTATCACGCTCCTAGAGTACGTCATACATATCTTCTGCGACCCAACTTAGACTTCCATTACCATTCCCAAACCTTTAAATTCCATTTTTGTTTATTGGTCTACCTGCTCTACTGTCTGCCCCACTGGTCTTCCACATTTAAAACTCTCCAAAACATCTATCCTAGTCGTACCGATCCTTCCTTGACTCTTAATCTTGCCCCACTGGTTCAGGTTCAACCTTAGCTTAAGCTGGAGGCAGTCAGTTCAGTTTTTAATGTTTTGTGCAGCAAGAATATAACCAACCACTACGAAACCAATTCACGAGAATCCCCACTCAGAACCCACTCCCTCACTCCCAAGGCACCTACCCACTCAATCCTTCCCGCCAAAGCACTCAGCCACCGACTCTTCACCCACAAACCTCCAACGTGTCCAATCCTCAATCGCAGAGATCCTATGTACGACCAGCTTCCACTCAAGGCCAGTTGCAGCCCCAACAGGCCTATCCTCCCTTTGATCATCAGAGCCAGGAATCTTGCCCCATACCTCCTTCTGAAGGGCCTCAACCAAATTACAAGGCTGAAGCTAGGAATGGAGGAAGCCAAAAGAGAGAAGGGGAAGAAGAGAAAGAGCAATAAGTTATTTGAAAATAAGTGAAGAGGAAATAGTGTAGAAGTTGATTTCAAGTGGTTTTAGAGAGAAGGGGTTTTGGGGTTTTGGGGTTTTGGGGTTTTGGGG